TTTATCTCTCAGAATGAAAACAATGGGATGTTTCACAGTCAAGGTTTTAGAAATAAACAGAGCCTTGTCGTTAATCCCGATTCCATTAGCTGCTAAAGCCTCGGTTTCCCTTTGGCTTACTTCTACGACGGCCTTCTGGATAGGACCGTTTACAAACCGATCGGTTTATCCCGAAGATACTGACAATAACCCGACCGGACATCAGTTGGTTTATCCAAAAATGGCATATATTATTAGATAATACTGCGAAATCATTCAGATTACCATTTTCTTCTATTGGTGTTTGACGTCCGCTTCCACCGAGGGTGATATCGCAGACAAGATCTTTCTTGTGTAAGGAAACTGGAGTAAACCCACCAGGTTGAGAAGCCGCATACGCTCACATCAGAGATCGAAACCACGAAAGCAAGCCAGAGTTGACCGGCCAGCTAGAGCTCGAAGCGTGCCACTCTAGACCACCCCAACTCCCCTTCAGAAAGTCAAAGAAATTGTCAGTTTTATATTCCCAAATACATATAGCTATGATAAACTAGAGGCTGTGATGCATGTTTTGAATATAAATAACGCTTGTTTGGAAATTATAAACAGTTTAAGTTGTGTATGAGTAGCAGATGTGTGGGTAATGTATTGTAGACAAATCAAATGCCATTAGTGCAATCATTGAAATGAACATCCAAGTCACGCCTGTTCTGTGAATATACGATGCAGCAGAACCCCCTATTCCCAATGAGCAGAAATCTCACACATTATTATTAGCCTACATACAACAATAACGCAGTCTCTTTCAAACTTTATTGGATTCTTTTGGATCCAGACATGTACTTATCAACGAGGGTCTGTGTATCTTCCATGGAAAAGATTAACACCTGCAACCTTATCTCTAATGAGGAACATATACGGATGATTTAGTGTTATATATCTGGGAAAGTGGATGGCGGAGGAAAGGAACGAGATCCCCAATCCGGTCACAGCAGCAGCTTTCGTCCCGCTTTCGCTAATTTCAATAACAGCTTGTTGAATGGCTTCTCCTACAAACAGCCCAGACATTCCAGTGATTCCGCTAAGATCAGCTGAGGAAGGATCAAAAACCTTTTGGATTCCAAGGCCTTGTAAAGACTGCTTCAGTTTCAGTTTGTTTTCGATTTTAATCTTTGGCATAGCTAAGGTGAATAAACCAGAATGTTGTAAATCTGAAAGAAAAAGATATTCCTACGCTTTAACTTTGGAAGTAAAAAAAACCCTCAATTTCGGATATTCGGAATTTAATGAAAGTGGATTATTCACACCAGTTTACGTAAGATACTGAAAACATTATGGTTGACAATAATCGCCGTTCATAATACAAACATGTGGACTGCTGACTTATGTATATATGTTTGTTATCCTGGGGGATATTTTAAAGTTACCGCAATGTATTGTTTATGAGTAGCGTAAGCGAAGTCCAACAAATTAGTTTGTTGTTTGACTCCTCCTTTCGAAAAAGGCCTCTACAATAACGTTTGACAAATCCTTGGATTCGTGTCTGTATGCTATAACAATGAAACTGTGTTGATTTAAAGTTTCAAGTTATGAAATGAGATGAGATATATTGAACAATTTACTTTGTATTTATGTTCACTTTGTAACATAAAGTTTAATTATAAAGATTTCGTATCGGCTTTTTGCTCATTAACAGAAGTACAAAATTGCCCATGTTATTTCTCTGCGACGGCGATTCATATTATATTTCCATACATTTTGTTCCATTCATTGTTTGTTGTGCCGTTAACAAGCTTTACATAAACCCTTTAGATGCAGTATTTTATCGGATTACCAACCAAGTGAAAACAGTAACTGATCACCCCGTGATCAGACCTGTCATAACCTCACTCAATAGGATAAAACCGATGACCTTAAACAACGCCGGACCTCTTATTCTGAACAGGAATAAAGAGAACCAAAGCCAGTATGGGGGTTTATTTTTATTGGACCTTTTTAAACCTGTGGATCAGTGTATCGGCCATGGAATATGTCCATTCCTGTAGTTTTATCTCTCAGCACGAACATAAAGGGGTGATTCACCATCAAAGTTTTAGAAAAGAACAGGGCCTTCTCGACAATCCCGAAACCAGTAGCTGCCGAGGCTTCAGTTCCCTTTTCGTTGACTTGTAAGACGGCCTTCTGGATAGCATCGTCTACATACAGGTCGGATCTTCCAGTCATTCCAGAAAGATCGGCATTAAACTGATCGAACATTTGGTTTATCCCCATTAACTTCAAAATGGGTTTCAATTTTAAAGTGTTTTCGATTTTCATTCTAGGTAAGTAGACTTGGAAGACGTCTTTTTGATCCATATCTGAAATGCGTAAACATATTTTAAAGGAAATTTCGAATATTATTGCACTATAATGAAAAACCCCAGAGTTCTTTTTCATGGATAGAGACACAGTTATATAAATAAACGTTTACAAATTTCAGTGATATTATTCCAATCCAATAAATACAAATTTATGACATATTCTACTGAATTTTCATTGTTATAGATAATTTCTGACAATGCCACGTATATAAATATAACCTGTAACGCAGGTGTTGTTTGACGCCTGCATGTGTATCTTATCACAAGGAAATTGTTATGGTAGTAGGCATAGAGAAAACATTACAATCTGATTCAACAATGAATGCTCATATGAATATCACTTTCCTGATTGCATTGGCCTTGTTGGTGTCGTCAAGGAGCAAGCCCGCCAGTGATCATCATACGGGAACAACCAGTGATTGTAACAACCGAGCAAAAGCAACACAACATATACAACACAATTATATATTATTGATATATAGAGAAGGTAAACAAACGGATCCGAATTAAAAAGAATATTATTAATAAAAGAAAAATAGTGATAGTTAAACGCGTATGGGGTCCTAGAATATCAAATAAAATGCACTGTAGAACACTGAAACTTATACAATTAAATAAGGAAAATATACGAATTTTGAAATAAATATAAAAATCATAAAATTCGAAGTGTGACGACAGCTCATACATACATTTGTCGATGTCAAAAATTATTGCTTAAAATAGCCCCCTTCATTGGCATGTACACGACATGGGAGACAAAATTAGATATTGTTTCACGCTACGAAAATACATGTATTATGAGGCAAATCTCTCAAAATGCACTTAGTAATGTGTAGAAAGTAAATGCAATTGGACAGAATGTTCTTATCTTCTTTAGTACATAGATCGATTTTCCCCGTTTCTTTCGAGTCGGAGCATTTGAAAGATCCCAGAATGCCTCTTTAAGAGATCAGAAGAGTACAAAATGAACTATAATTTATTGATTGTTTTCAGAATACACGTTACCACAGTGCATATAATCAATTTCTTTCCTTTAGTTTTAGGAAACGACCACGTTTGTCTTCTTTATTTTACAATTTAACCTAATTTGTCTGTGGCCCAGAATATCTCCCCATAAACAAATCTACGTTTGTAGTTTTGTCTCGTATCAGGAACATAAACGGGTGGTTAACAACTAAAGTTTTTGTCATCGATACCATTTCATTTATGCCAATTCCAGTTACAGCGGCTGCTTTGGTTCCAGATTCCGTTACTTCAATTTTAGCCTTTTGAATAACAGTGTCTACAACAAGACCCCCTTGTCCAGTTATACCAGAAAGATCAGCTCTATAATCAAAGATGCGCTGTAGTCCAAGCTGCTTTAAAGCACTGTTCATCTTCAGTTTTGTATCTAATGTAAACTTGGGTAAATAGAGATCAAATTGGGAGGCCCATTTCATATCTGAAACAAAAATACCCCGTAATACAGCCTATTTTTCAAATGTAATAAAACATACATTGTAGTTGATCAACATTCCCACTATAAAATCGCAGTTATATGCTTTATTGCTATGCCGTGTGTATGTTCCAGGTAACAGATTACCACCAGCAACGCGATATCTTGGGGCAATCATATGCGGATGAATAATCCTTATATATTTATGAAAGATTACAGAAGACGCTCTCAAATTCGAAACCAATTTGGGTTATTTCAATGTTTAAATAAAAGCGCTGTGCATACCGAATGATTAAGACATTTTATACCACCCAATCTAAACCCCACTATAGTATTTCATAGGATATGGATAAATGGGTATTTTGTAATCTGAATTCATCCCATAGAATGACAAAGCTATCCATGTTTGCAAGAATTTGTTTTTATTGGATCTGACTTTCAAGTTAGGTCTATGCCCGAGGATCTGTGTACCGCCCTTGGAAAAGATTGACACGGGCAACGTTATCTCTAAGGACAAACATATAAGGATGGTTAATTGTCATGGGCTGTGACATAATAATAGCCGTTGCAACAACACCAAATCCGGTAACAGCAGCGGCCTTGGTCCCTCTCTCGTTGACTTCGATCACAGCTTGCTGGATAGCTTCGCCTACAAATAGTCCTGGATTCCCAGTCATACCACTAAGATCAGCAGCGGATGGATCAAAAATTTTCTGGATTCCGAGATCGTTTAATGAGTTTTTCAGCTTCAGTTTGTTTTCAATTTTAATCTTAGGCATAGCTAAGTTAAAGAAATCACGATGATGTAAATCTGAAAACAGAAGATTTCCAACTTTGAAAATGATGACTGACTTTAATGTGATGTATCAACCACCAGACCTAATGGGGGTGGGAGGGGGGCGAATGGTTAGCACATGCGCGCTGTATCATAAGGTCTGTCATTGAGTCAACTGGCTTGGTTTCGATTCCCCGGTTGTACGTGACAAGGAGTAGGGTCGCCTGTCCAACCTCGTGGGTTTTCTCCGGGTCCTCCAACTGTCAAAGACCTCTACGCGCAAGCGAATAATTGAAATAAAATTGAACCATTTGTTAGTCCCGAAATGACCTAGTTTGTGTCGAGTGGACGTTAAACCCCATTTCTCCCCCCCCCCCCAGTCCAAATGCTTTACAAGGAATAATAGTAACTTATTTAATTTTATACATGGTACAGATTCTTGAAAATAATTTTATACATGGTACACATTCTGGAAAATGAACAGTAAAACATGCATATACTGTTTTTCAATAACGTTTGCATTTACTTTTAGGAAAATATAGGCACATTCCTAATTCCGATTTGCACAACTCTTGTCTTTGGATACAAAAAATGTATCCATTGAAATGTTATGAAATTGTACATCATACAATATGTACTACACTTAGGAGTAAATTCAATAACTTCGCAAAGTCCTTTTGAGAACGGTGCCTTTTTTTAATACAAAGAAGGGAAAACAGTATTCGACCGTAACGTATCATCACAATTCACGAACGTTTTAAGCAAATAACATTAACATTTCAATGTCGGTTAACAACACGATTGTTTAGCTTAGCTATCCCCCGGGTCAAAGCTGTAAACAAACTTTGTAGTTCCAAGAAAACGACGAACATCAAACAAGTATTAAATCATATTTTCGTTTACATATAGTTTATTGGGGTTAACAAAAACTTGTCATATTCTTGGGTCTGTATATCTTCCATAAAACAAATTAACACCAGCAAGACTGTCTCTTAATACGAACATAAACGGATGATTAATCGTTAGACGTTGTGCCGGGATCATTATAGGTAGATTGTGAAAGTTGAATCCCGTAACAGCAGCAGCCTTTGTCCCTTTCTCATTGATTTCAATAACAGCCTGTTGGATAATGTCGGCTACAAACACTCCAGGTTGTCCAGACATGCCACTGAGGTCAGCAGATGAATCGAAGATCTTTTTTATTCCTAAAACTTTTATGATGTCTCTTAGTGGTATTTTGTTTGCAACTGTTAATGTTGGCATGGATACTGTGAAGAGACTACGCTGATGTAGGTCTGAAAGCAAAGATGCAATTCCTTGAAGGTTATATACACGCTTGCTCGATTCTATTGCGTCATCTTTTCGGTCCTCTTAAGCTGTTTTGTATGATATTGCTCGTGGCGAGAAAATCAAATAGAAGTTTAAAATTGTATTATGTGGCCACAACAATTAAAACAAGTTACTCATTACAGAGCATCAACCACTGAATTGGCGATCGGTATAAAGAGAGAAATAAAAGAAGTAAAAACTGATTTTTATTTGTTTATATTATTCTTTTAATATTAAAAGATTGATTAAATTCTTGGGTCAGTGTATCGTCCGTAAAACAAATTAACACCAGCAGATTTGTCCCTTAATACGAACATGAAAGGGTGATTTATTCTGAAAGGAATTGTTATGCTGCCCATAAGAAAACCGTGAAAAACGATTCCAGTCGCGACAGACGCTTTGGTTCCGTTCTCGCTGATTTCAATAACTGCTTGCTGGATAATGTTGTCTACAAATATCCCGGGTTGGCTAAAAATGCCACTGAGGTCCGCAGAAGGGTCAAATATCTTTCGGATTCCTAAAGCTTTAACAGATTCTTTGAGTTGTAGTTTTTTTTCAATGTTTATTCTCGGCATAGTTAGCTTGAAAGGACGTCTGCGCAAGTCTGAAAGCAAAGAGTTAATTTCATCAAACTGGCAGGACTAACTATTAATATTTATCAATAACAGTGGCTGCCTTTCAATGTAAGCCCACGTTTTGCAATAGATGGACGGAGGTCCGGGATAATGATATGGTAACACCGGTACGGAAGGCCAAGGAACGCTGAAACTTACCGACATGGCTAACCTAACTATTATTAATTATCAATAATATACAGTACTATCGATTCCAAACGTCAGTCAAACTATACACACATTAATTGAAATGTTACACTGTAATGGAAGTAGTCAAACACATTTCTATAAATAATATCAATTTTCCATGAGCATTGCTTAACAAATCATAGAAAACAGTAACATACAGCTTACAGTATCTATTAAACATCACACTCCAATTCAAACGCTTGGCACCATTTCCGCTCTGTGATGTCATATTTTCTGTCCAAAGTCAACAAATAATTAAATATTTTTTTTACTATCCACGGAGTATGGATTCGGTATTGTTCTAGTTTGGTTCACATCAGGGACGGATAAAGAATAGTAAATGTCAGCCTTTTTGATGGTTTGAACAATAGATGAAGTGTAACTGATTTTTTTTTAGGAACTATCGTATCTCAATTCCAAATTTATGATGCAATACTCTTGAAGATAAACATACAATATGCAAGAGCTAAATCTGCCCATTGCAGGTCTTTCTTTGGACCTTGAACGAAATATAAACTATTAATTAGACATTTATTAACATGACAAGGCCATAATCAACTCTCGATGCCATCGGATGCCTTAGATTTCCAACAGATTTGAATCAGATCTGCTGTTCAACGACCGTTGATGATTAACAGTTAAAATTGATAATCGAGGCTACAGTGTCATTAAAATGGGTTTTTTTCGGTTCAGAGTGGAGTAATTTGACTGAAATTTTCTCCATATTCTATTTACATAACCTATTTTTAAACTATTATAGCGAGAACTGTCAGCTCTTTATCTAATCTTCCATAATGCCGCTTTAACTGTATACGAAATGATATACATGACAAATAAATATTTGCAAGTAATACTGTGTCCAGTCTTTATTTATTGTTAGATGTGGGATTGGGTCTTAATATTTTTAAATGTTGCTATGATTATAATAGATACCAGCGAATATAAACATTGTGTATCGGCAAAGATGAAAATTCAAGATGCTCGGCATCTCAACATTTTTCGTGTCTGAAAATCTGCTTGTTCGGTTGAATTTAGAGAAATAGACCACGGGTTAATTAATCATTAATTTCAAAGGTTAGTAACTTCACCCGTGCTTTAGTTTGCTTAATTGGCTTATGCTAAATTTCAAATGAATTTGTTGTTAAATAGTAGTTGCCGTGAAAAAGTTATAAACAGCGAATAAGTGACATGGCACACTCCTTCCTCTTTGTCAATTTATTTTGCACTGATATATTTGGCCGTTGACATGTCCCAATTCAGGGAAACGCACGATTAATTTGACCAACTATTGAAACCGAAAATCTGCATTTCTGACTGAAAATAAAATACTCGTGAGTAATATGATTGGGAAATTCTATTAAATTTCAAATATACAATTATCAACACATTACTAGCACAATCGACAGTTAGTAATAGGTAAAGTGTTATACTTTTTGGTAAAAATAATTTTTCAGGTTTCACAATATCACCTAATTAACCTGCTGGGAGCATGGCTTTAAAACTATATTTATTACTGAATATTTTTGTTACATCATTAGAACTTATAATGTCGAATTTTGAACTGTATCATTCTGGACAATGCAGTGATACTATTTCGTAAAAACGTATGCTAAACATAAGAAGGAACACATTAAATGCTAAAGAATATTTATTTCAATAACACACAGACTGTATCTACAATCTATTCTCTTGGATCCGTGTATCTTCCGTGGAAGAGGTTAACACCAGTAACTGTATCTCTAAGTACGAACATATATGGATGGTTTATGGTAACATGTTGAGTCTGGATTATGGCCAGAGCTTTAATCCCGAATCCAGTTACAGCAGCAGCTTTTGTTCCTCTCTCGTTGATTTCGATAACAGCTTTCTGTATAGCTTCGTCTACAAACAACCCCGAATCTCCAGTGATGCCACTTAAATCAGATGATAAGGGATCAAAGAGATCTTGGATACCAAGCAGTTTTAAAGATTTTTTCAGTTGCAGTTTGTTTTCAATTTTGACCTTGGGCATGGCCAATGTGAAGAAACTTCGCTGATCCAAATCTAAAAGCAAAATATTACCCAAGCTAAATTAGAACTGGAATGCCAAATCTCTTTAAATTGTTTACTGGTCCGAACGTTGTTTTCAAGAAACTTTTAATCCATATAGAGCATACTAATTTGATTACCTAAAATAAACAGCTTCCTTCACCAAGGTATTGAACAATTGTCATAGCATATTTAAAATAATATGTGACATATATTTATCAAAAATCCAAACATATCCTGTCGTGTATATCCTTAGGACCTGTAGTTTTGGGATTTATGCTATAGCTAATTTATCGCTAATATCAATTTGTATGACAGGTCGGTTTCCATTCTTATCGATAGACTTAAAAGATCTGCAACTGTCTTTCATTAAATATTAAATAAAGAAAACTATACCACCACCACCACAACCGATTGCCCCTCACCCCCACCCTTGGATGTAAAAAGTAAACAATCAAACATCAACATTTCGTAATATTTTATTTGTTGTGGGCTTTTTGTTAAAGAATTAAATGTATACGCGCGGGTCTGTGTAACGTCCATGGAAGAGGTTAACTCCAGTAGTTTTATCCCTCAGGACGAACATGTAAGGATGGTTTATCGTAAGCTGCTTGCTCATAATGATGACATTTGCATGGATACCGAATCCAGTTACGACAGCCGCTTTCGTTCCCCTCTCGTTTATCTCTATAATGGCTTGTTCGAGAGCATCGTTTACATAGAGTCCGGAAATTCCAGTCATCCCACGCAGGTCAGCAGAATCCTGGTCAAAAAGCTTTTGAACTCCAAGAGCTTGGAGGGATTTCTTGAGTTGTAGTTTGTTTTCAATTTTGATCCTGGGCATAGCTAAGTTGAAAAAGTCCGACTGATCCAAGTCTGAAAACAAAACACCCAGATTGTGTCGACTCTTTAGGTGATAATGTTTTTTATGATTCCAACCGGAACATGATTACTCAAGAAACTCCAGTGGATAGAATTTGTTAACGAACCCAAAAATCCCGTCAACTTGAAGGATTTCAGAAATATTCAGTAGGATTGTTCTGTGGGATTCGTTATATGAATGGGACACATCGAAACGGAATATTTATGAATTGAAAGTACTGTAATAGTAAGTGCAGGGGGACTGCACCACACATAATTTACACATAAACAAATCTACGGACAAGACAATACGCAGAAATCACAAACAAACGAACATATCAAATTAAGTGAATGGATCCGGGGGCTAGCCGTATACGTACACTGCGCTGTACAGCCCCGGGCATGTAGTGATACAGACTTCACTCAGATTTGAAAACAATCAGGAATATAACCCAGAGTGTCTGAAAAATTGGCAGGGTTGTTGTGTAGGTGGTACAGTTACTTTAAGGATATGTAGATGTGCTGTAATGACAACAGCTGTCCACGTTAATTATTAAAATTATTGCTATTCTGATGGAACATAACAATGGAAGCTTATTTACAACCCTGCTTACAAGTGGTCGACACAAAGTTAATGGAAATACACAAATCGTACTCACTTTGAATAGCCGAGTCAAGAGCTTGAGCATCGAGTCCAGATTCAAGAGCAGCAAGACCCTCAATGGCATCAGGAAGTAGAATGAACATACTGTATCTGTTTCCAACATAGGGAAGCTCCATTACAGTTGTCTTAAGATTATCTAGTCGCTTGTAATTAAACATCTGTTCATGTACAGACATCATGTCCACGTCCACGGATGTGGTTGAATCGATGTGAAATTTATGTTTTCTTGTCAAACGTTCATCAAAGACACTTTTCCAGGTTCCTAAACATACAAATAGCTAAAATATAACAACGTCGCACCTACAGGGCAGTGCAATTCTAAGTCAATACATACAAACTGAATATCTGGATTTTATTAATAACAGTGCTACATAGCATCATGTGTTCCTTAAGGAGTAAGTTCACCCGTGGGGATTAGATCTTAAGCTATATCATTGTTTTAAGTGCGCCTATACTAGCAAAGAAGTGGGATGATCTGACAGGCTGTCTGATTCGGTAGTTTGGATCTTGGTATTAAAGTAGCTTAGTTCTCACTTGCAAACACGACTTATTGGTCAATTCAAATCAGCACTGATGTTGTTACCTTAGCATGAAAATATTTAAGACGCAGTGAACATTTTAAAATTGACACACGAATCGCGTGCCAGAATGTTTTTGAGCGAGATTTGTAATGACTCGATGAACGAGGCTAAAGATATTCCTTGGTAGAATTCTACCGATGTAAATTGGAATAAACAGACGCCAAATAATGTTACTCAATAGGGACTCTTCGCGAACATAACTGATTAGAAATTACAGTAAAACAGTAAGGATTAAATGTAAATATGCCTTAATATTACATTATTATATGGGTTGCAACCCAAAGATTAAAAAAATTAGCTTCTTTAACAACAAACTTTTACGGCAAGTTCTGAGATATTTTTATATAAGCTATCCTACCTTGAAAGTATATGGCGTTGATTAACCACATGACTGTGCTACCATCAATAGATCCCGGGGCAAGGAAATCCTTGATCATACCAGCTGTCTGTTTTGATACCCAGTCGTTGATGGGAGCTTCGGGGCCTTTAGGATTTGAAAAATCGAACTCTTGGGCCTTGGCATCGTAATAAGTCTTCATTTTGTTGGAGAAGTCTGAGAGAAGTTTAGTTCCTGGTCTTACGAACATTCCGTTGGCGTTGTTCAAAGTGACGTTTGTCAAGCCCTGTAGCAGACTCGTGTAATATTGGAAGGCATGGTGGACATCGTCGCCGAGGGACTCGATATTCAAAGCTTTGTAAATCTCATCTGTAGTTTGACCTTTTGATCCCAGCGATGTCATTGCCAGAGCAGTGAAAACACTGAAAGGGGAGATAATCAGGTTTTTGTTGGTTGGGGTGAACTTGTTGTAGAGGTCGAAGGAGAATTTTGACGTAGCTGTTGAGAGCTGTTGCATCATTTGGGTATTTGAGAGTGCTCTACGATTGACCCCACCTGAAAAGAATTTGTTAACGTTATCATTAAACAAGTGACGTAAAATGATATATGAAATGAAATGGGGTTTAAAGTCCTACTGTTCTGCTCCCGAACTGGGCTAATGAAGACGGTGATATTAATGAAATACACTAATACGGATATAGCCATAAACCGGAAGTAGCATAACTCCGCAACTGGAAGTTGTAGCCCACATGGCCTATGTTACTCCCCGCTCCGAACTACGCCTCTATACTGTCTTACACCAATTTGGGGCCTGAACAGACAGACAGACAAACGAACGACAGTCACAAAAATTAGTCTAGTTGTGAAACTAATAATTCTTTGGTTCGCGATGTTAAAAACGATAGTTGGCTAGGCAAGGAACTATATGGCAACTAACTACTTCTCATGATGTATAGGTGACTCATGATGTATAAGTGAGCAGCTGATTTTAAAATTAGGGGCACGTTTCCACTTTTGTAGGGTAATATCCTTCTATCAGCAATCAAAAGCCAGTCACAGTAACTTTGGCAGTACGTTTGTGAAAACCCGTAAAATCGACAGGGTTCATATTTAACCCACTACCAATTAGTCCGTAATATTTCATAACGGGTAAGAGTACGACTATGTATGAATATCAACAAATAAAGTTTTTGCACACAAAATAAAATAAATTGGTCTCAATTATCTGATAATAAGGCGCCTATTCTGCATGCAAGCACTAGGCAAACAATATTAAATCAAGTGAATTGATCCTTGGGCCAGATATACACAAGCAAGTGGTTTTCAGTGCCACATAGATATCCAATGAATAGACAATATGCATCTGAATCGAACTTAAAATTACTAACCGTTCACTTCGTAGGACAGGGCTAAGACAGCCAGTCCTAAAACAAGCAACATCTTCATAATGGACTATTAAACTCTAAAAAAATAAAAACATGAACACAAAATGTTACTCCCTTTTATGATTTATGTTCATTAAAGCCAATATTTCAAAGAAGCATAACTGAAATGGGTGTTTAACGTCCCATTATTCTGGACCGACTACGTCATTGCAGATAGACAAAGCAGCAGAACAAATGGTTAGATGTTGTTAAGTATTTTCATAACGTCGACAACTACCTTAGTAAACATGCCCAATGACACTCCGTCATAATATTTGACTTTATTTTCACAATATGCATCAAATCAGTAACACTTATAAATATTCAGAATTTACAGACAGTTAACTTTAACAGCTGAAATTTGAAGCATAGTAAGTTGATTTGGTGGTTTTACGTGCCGATTGCGGAACGGGTTTCCAGTGCACGTAAAAGATTCGTCGATAGCAGGAATTTGAAGAAGAATATGCTGTTCGCCCCGACATTGCACACGTTAGCATACAAATTAGAAAGTACTGTATGCTAGTCTACAAATGCTACACTTTGTGGCACTGAGAACAAATTATAATTAAAGCAGACCTATACCCAAATAAGTCTAAATCCCAGAATTAAGTATTGTTTAATGTTATATTGTAACAAAAAGAGGGCCATAGGCCCGAGTGTTTTTACAATATATTACGCAATGTCTTAAGCTCGAGACCATTACAGGACTTAAAATATAGACACTCCGCACGTGCTTTTACAGTGAAATACTTCACGCGAGTCCAATATTTCACTAGTATAAATAATGTACGATTAGCAAGTTGCCCCTACGATTATTTGAAATAATGGTACGCCAACATCAAAGGGTGACGTCACATCTGTATTTTGCCATATAATTACCATTATATGAAGTAACGCAAAATACCTATCTTAACTCACACTGAAGTCTTAAGGATGTGGGTGTATTAATTCACATAATGTAATGTGCCTGTTTGTCATTCGCGTGAATTTCGAATCAATTTTAGGTTTAATAAATCAAGCCTTACCTTCTAAATGAAATGTACTTTGAAATGACGTGACCCACCTTTTATATACGTTATCTATTTAAAATAGTACAATAATAAATTGCCTGTCAATCGTGACACTATTTCTCGAATAGTCTGTTCTCCATGAACGTGGGGAACTCTTTATAACCTTCCCGACCTTGTCTAATGATAATGTTACCAAATGTCTTTATTCACACGCCTTTACCAAGATATAGTACCGTATCGATTTTTTAAAAAATAACATTGCGAAATTCTAAGGTGCTGGTGTCCCATTGTAACCTTAAAAAACGTTTCAAACCGGATTCGGACTTCTCAGTAAGGCATTGGAGAGAGAGAGAGAGTAAGAGAGGGTAAGAAAGAGATGTAGGGGTGGAGGAGTGTTAGGATCCACTCTATACACAAACTAGGTCATTTCAATAACTATAATATAGGCTGAGGATTTTGGCAGGACAACTAGCACGGGTTCTCAACCTTTGTAGATTATTTCTAGTTCTTAAATATAAAAATGATTTCATATAAAAGGTGTCAAATTGATTATTAATGATTGGGTTTACACAAAAGTAGAAAAAAATATCTATGAATATGGAGTAGTATGTGGAATGCTTCTATGCTAGGTTCCCACTATCACGATTCACGATTTAATCATGGAGTAACCAAGGTGATCCTATCAGGTCTTATCATATATTATTAAGTTCAGTCGTAAACATCGTGTTGATCGTATAAAAACGTATGCGAACGTATCTGCAATTACCAGATCGTGTCGTAATGCATCGACACTCCTGTCGTAACGCATCGCACTACAGTGGGAACCTAGCATAATCCAGTTTGCCTCAGAATTAGCAGGAAATCCTGACTCGCTCTTACAGTGACGGCAGTACAGTACACCCATTTATCTATACAGCTCATAAGTGAAATAGCTTAAATCCGGTAACTAGAGTAGATGAAAATGAAATGTTTAAAATTTGAATTTATTTGAATATAGCTATAACCCACGTACTTTGTTAAATAGTCGCGTATGTTCCAGCACTGATGATAAGAAAGCCTTCTGACATCGTGGTCAGTATGGTTAAAGGAGAGAGAGAGATGGGGTTTAACGTCCATTCGACAAAACTAGATCATTTCGGGACTAACACATGGTTCAAGTTTATTTAAATAATTCGCTTGCGCGTAGGGGTCTTTAGCAGTGGGAGGAAACCGGTGGACCCGGAGAAAACGCAGGAGGTTGGACAGGCGACCCTACTCTTTGTCACGTACAACCGGGGATTCGAAACCACGCCAGTTGACTCAGTGACAGACCTTATGATACAGCGTGCACGTGCTAACCATTCGCCCCCCCCACCCAGTATGGTTTCGTTTTATTGAACACGCTATAATCATATCACTATTTATACTGGGGTGCTATAATATGGAATTTTGGTTTATTTGTATGGTTCTTGCGTTTCCGAATCTTTGATAATAAGTATAACCACCTAATGGATTCTAAAAATTGTTAGTCACAGATTAATTATTGAACTTGTGAAAACTATTTATTTGCATAGTTTTAATGCAATATATAATTTTAGATATCCTTCCGTTTCATTGCTGAATGTTTGTCCAACTAACTGGAGATTACAAATCATATACTGTTCGCCAAAATAAACCAATTTTTGTTTTGCCTTCAACCAGCCAAAATATGCTCGTTGTTCATTCGGTTTCATGGGAAGTTGCCATGAGTGTGAATATCAGAAAGGGTGTTTTGCACTAAAGAGAACCGGAAAGCCCTTTCAAGAATGCTGCTAGCCAAGGAATATGACTCAGTCCAGTCCAGGCGCTAAAACAATGCTCGATTCACATTTGTATAACGAAACGTGTGTTGCCATAAACAGCCAAACGGCTTTAGATCCTGGGAAATATCATCTCTCGTACTGTTATTTTATCGGCACACTGGCTAGATGAAACAAGTTGCGCTGTCAAATGGTGAAATACAATGGATTCGTACCTATGCATTTTATGTGGCAATTGCGTTTATAGCTAAATTAAATAATACTAAAAAAAAATAACAGAGCAATTTGAGATATTATTCAAGTAAAGACTGATTTTTATTTATTTATATAGTTCTTTTGAAATTAAGAATTCTATTTAATTCTTGGGTCAGTGTATCTTCCATAGAACAAATTAACACCAATAGTTTTGTCCCTCAACACGAACATGAAAGGGCGATTTATACTGAAATGAGGTATCGGTATGCTCATAAGAAAACCGCCAAAAGCCAATTCAGTCGCAACAGAGGCCCTTGTTCCGTTCTCGCTGATTTCTATAACAGCTTGCTGGATTATGTTTTTTACAAATATCCCTGGTTGGTGAAACATTCCACTGAGGTCTGCATTATCGCCAAATAGCTTTTGGATTCCCAAAGCTTTAACAGATTCTTTGAGATTTAGTTTTTTTTCAATGTTTATTCTTGGCATAGTTAGCTTGTAGGCACGTCTGTGAGTCAAGTCTGAAAAGTAAAGTGTTATTTTTATGAAACTACATTGACAGGAATAACTATTAATGTGATTATCAATACCAGTGGTTGCCTTGCAATATAAACCACGTTTTGCAATAGATAGGCGGAGAACAGGGGAAAATTGATAAGTCCCATCCTCTTATTGTACCAATTCACATGGGTTTTTTTATGTAAAAAAACAACCTGCTAATAACTGTAGCCTCATTCGCGTTCACAATAACTTCGGAAAAGGGTGGGGTTGGGGTTAACTCCTGAAGGGAAGCCCATGGAGCTCTGAAACTCATTGATATGGCTAACTATTATTATCAATAATATAGGGCAGTCAAACAATACTTATATTAATTGAAATATTACAGTGTAATAAAAGTGGTTAAAATATTTCAATATATCCTAACAATTTACACTGTATCGCGAGCATTAGAAGTATTTAAGATTGCTTAACAAATTGTCTCTTCGACAGTAGAGTAGCAACCTTCGTTATTGCTGAAATATCATCGAAACATCAAAATAAATAATCAATTATCAACGAAAAATGACACTGCTACTGTTTTCACTCTGTCCAATGACGAAAAATACTTGGATTAAGATTTCGGCTGTGTTTTAGCTCGGTTTAAATCAAGAACCGATGAAGAACATTTAACATCAGCCTTTCTTTGACTTGAATAATGGACCGTGTCCCACTATCGTATCTCTTCTAAATTTATCATGTCAATACTCTTTAAGTTAACTAATTACGAAATTATACCTATGATAAATGTATGGGACTGGGTCTTAATTGTTTTAGTTTTTTGCCTTCCATGTTGCTATATTATGGATATAATAAACACCGGAAGAAATAAACACTGATGAAAATCAAAGACGCCCGACGTCTCATATTTATGTTATGCCTGTTCGATTGAACGTAAAAAAATAAACCATGGTTATATTGAACATTAAATTGAAAGGTATGTTACAACTGATTTTTTTGAACTATTAATGATCTGAATAGTAGTTGCAGAGAAAAAGTTTAAAATCGCGAATAAGTGAAGTGAAATACCCCTTTTCTATCTTTATACAATATTGTTTTCACCTGTACATTTGGTCGAAAAGAACACAGGATAATTTCGTTTGATCTCCTATTGACATCGGAAAAGTATACTTTTGGCTGATGACAAAATACCCCATGGGAAATTATATGATTGGGAAATCCTATTAAGTTTCAAATATACAATTACCAACCCACTACTCGCACAACAATGGGTGTAATGTCCACTCGACACAAACTAGGTCATTTCGGGACTAACATATGGTTCAATTGAACAGACGATCCTACTCCTTGTCAAGCACAACAACAACAACAGGGGAATGGAAACGACGGCGGCACAGGCGCTAACCATTCGCAAAAATCCAGCCATATCCTGTCGAGTTTATCCTTTGGGACTGCAGTTTTGGGGTCATGAACAAATCTTGTCTAAGTTTGAAAACAAACACCCAGATTGTTACGACTCTTTCGGTGCAGATTTTAGGATTCCAACCGAAGCTTGAATACTCTACAACCTCCAGTGGATAGAATTTGCCAATGAACCCAACATTCCATTAAACTATCACAGCGGGTCATTTTGTTACGTCGAAGTGACTACATGTAGTAAGTATATTTGTATGTATGAATACAAGGTATGACTTAAAGTGTGTGTGTGTGTGATTATACTGTTTTTTTTTATCGGAAGGGGACAGTTGAATATATTATATTAACTATTCAAAAATCGCATGAAATATTTAAACTATCGCCTGGTGTTGGGTTCGTAGATTTTATAGAAAAAATCGTTTATGAACAACTATTTGATCGCATATGACTGAAGCACGGGAAGGATTTAAAGAAATATTTAGTAGGAGTTTTCTGTAGGAATGGGACAAGTCGAAACGACAAATCTTTATAGCATTCAAATTTCTTTAAGCGTGTAGGGTTATTGTATAGTGGTTCAGTTACTTTATGGATATATAGATGTGCTATTCAGGTTAATTACTTTAATTATTGCTATTTTGATAGAACACGACTGTGGAAGCTTATTTACAACCTTGCTTACAAGTTATATAACAGTTGGTATATTATATATTAAAGTAGCAGGTAAGTGAAACTAAAATTAGTCGCCACAAAGTCGGTGCAACTATACAAATCGTACTCACTTTGAATAGCAGAGTCAAGAGATTGAGCATCGAGTCCGGATTCCAGAGCAGTAAGACCATCAATGGCATCAGGAAGTAGAATGAACATACTATATCTGTCTCCAACATAGGGAAGCTCCAGTACAGTTGTTTTAAGATTATCTAGTCGCTTATAATGAAACTTCTGTGCATGGATAGACATCATGTCCACGTTTATGGATGTGGTTGAATTGATGTGAAATGCCTGTTTTCTTGTCAAACCTGCATCAAAGAGGGTCTTCCACGTTCCTATATATACAAAGAAATAAAATATAACAACTTCGCACATAAAAGACAATGGATTTTAAAGTTAATACTTACAAAGTGAACATCTGGATTTTACCAATAGCAGTTTTGCATAGAGTCGTGTGTTCTAGAAGGAGTATGTTCACCTGTAGGCTTTAGAACATGACGTAAATCATTGTTGCAACTGAACGTGGTGTCGACCCCGCCCTTATACGAGCAAAACAGTGGGATAGTCCGGCTGGCTACCTGATTCGGTGGTTTGGAATTTGGTCTCCTGCAGCTCTAAAGGAATGCTAAAAACCAACTTCTACCGTAAATTCTGAAATATCAATAAATTTGGAAGGTTTTATTTTATAAGCTATCTTACCTTGAAAGTATATGGCGTTGATTAACAACATGATTGTGCTGTCATCAATAGATCCTGGGTCAAGGAAATCCTTGATCATACCAGCTGTCTGTTTTGATACCCAATCGTTGATGGGAGCCTCGGGGCCTTTAGGATTTGAAAAATCGAACTCTTGGGCCTTGGCATCGTAATAAGTCTTCATTTTGTTGGAGAAGTCTGGGAGAAGTTGAGTTCCTGGTTTTACGAACATTCCGTTGGCGTTGTTCAAAGTGACGTTCGTCAAGCCCTGTAGCAGGCTCGTGTAATATTGGAAGGCATGGTGGACATCGTCGCCAAGAGACTCGATATTCAAAGCTTTGAAAATCTCGTCTGTAGTTTGACCTTTTGATCCTAGCGATGCCATTGTCAGAGCAGTGAAAACACTGAATGGGGAGATAATCAGATTTTTGTTGTTTGGAGTGAACTTATTGTAGAGGTCGAAGGAAAATTTTGACGTAGCTGTTGAGAGCTGTTGCATCATTTGGGTATTTGAGAGTGCTCTACGGTTGATCCCACCTGAAATGAAGTAAAATTGATAATGCAGTCATAAAGCAAGTGACGTAAATTGGTATTAATTTATTGCACTATTTGAAACTAATAAATTGTTTGGGACCTTAAAAAAGATATTTAGGTGCTATATGGCTACTAACTACTAATCATCTAACGGATGACCACGATTCCACTTTTATGGGGTAATATCCTTCTATCAGCAATCATAAGCCAGGTACAGTAACCATGGAAGTACGTTTGTTAGGTTTTGACCACCTACATCTTTTCGATAAAACATGTATGCAAAGAAGCGAGGAGGGTGGGGAGATTTATAGATCTAGATTCGTTTACAGTGAGGCGGGAGAAAGAATTGAGCGCCTAGTCTAATACTACAAAAGAACATATATATACTTGGGAGAAGACACATACATTGCAAGCAATAAGCTAACAATATCATATCAAGTGAATGGGTCCTGGGCCAGCCGTAAGCGTCCATTGCGCTAACAGTCCCATACCTGGTGTAATGATACAGGCGTCACTACAAATGAAATAAAAAGCATCGAATTACAAGAAAAATGCAATGGAAATATTGGGACCGGTCTTGGCGGGGGTTCGTCTTCTGAATGGCATTTCTTCATGACGTCATGAATTATAATGTCAAAGAATTAACAATAATTTGGGCGATAATCCGGATAGAAATTCGGAAAACGTTAAAAATTAATAAATTAGTGTAGATCTATTTTTAACCCAATACGAACCAATCTTGGAACTTTGATGAAGGTAATACACGTTTAATAATAGTTTTCATCACGGGACTACTTTTGCTAAATGCTGAAAATTCGATGCCAACATTGCGTGAATACTAATAATTACTGAACATATTTAAACAAAGACATGTCTAGAGCAGAAATAGCTATAAATCGGTAGTAATGGTCTATAGCCCGATACTAAATATTTCAGAAAATTTGACTAAAATCAAACTTGAGTATGTAGAATGACTGATAGCTATGTGTATACGGACGGATGGTGTGGGGTATCAAAACCTTATTTTCCACCGCAAAACTGATAAATGATATAAAAACAGATATTATACACAAGCAGGTGTTATTTAGTGGCACATAAATAGACAATATTCATCTGAGTCTTAACTTAAAATTACCAACCGTTCACTTCGCAGGACAGAGCTAGGACAGCCAGTCCTAAAACAAGCAACATCTTCATAATGGACAATTCAACTCTGAAAAATAAAAGCAAGAACACAAAATGTTATTGAATAACACATCCTTTTATTTCAAAGCCAAAGAAATTTAATGGGGTTAGCATCCTATTTTTCTGCACCAACAGCACTTATCACGGCGGTCAAAGCAACATAACGCCGATCATCATGTAAATAAATATCCGTCATAATATTCGACGGGTTTAAAGTGCACGTAAAAGATGCCTCGACAGCTGGAATTTGGAGAAGAGTAGGTTGTCCGCCCAGATTCTGCACACGTAAGCATGGATTAAGAAAGCATTTAATTTCATATGCTGCACATTTTGGTAATCTCGACGTTTAGGGCCGACGTTATGACAAAGTAATTCGAAATCCCAGAATTATTGCCAAACATTTGACATTATCTCTATCTCAACCATATGTGAAATAATGTAAAATATCAAGTCTTAACTAAAGTCTTAATTATGTTATGATCTTGATTCACATAAGTGAACCAAGCCTTACCTTCGAAATGAAATGTATTTTGAAATGAATGTGACACACCTTTTATATTATACGTTATCTATATAAAATAGTTTCGTAATACATTACCTGTTAATCGTGACTGTTTTTTCTCGAATATTCTGTTCTCCATAAACGTGAGGAACTCTTTATTATAATGTTTCCAAATGTCTAAATGTCCCAGAGAGGCTGTGGTTGTTTGGCAGGACAAATACCTCAATTCTTTTGTCCATTTTGCGTCAGTTCGGAGCAGGTAATCTTACAGTACACTCAGTGCCGGTTTTATCTGTGTGTTTGACAGATTGATATGAAGCCTAGGGCCCCAAGATCTAGGGTGCCCCAGGCTAAGGTATTTAATATTTTTGACATTGCCATAAACCTTTCTTACATGGACTGTAGTCTAAACATAAGTCATCATCCTCGGCTTTGCTCAATTGTGTTTAAATAAAATAAAACCAAGTACGAACAATCCAAACCATTAGACAAAATTCGAAGTCCTAAAAAAACGGTAGCCTATAGGCAAAATAGTGTAATAAAGCAAAATAGTGTAATCAGCATATGGACTATTCACCGTGTACAAAATATACGACAAACAGTTGTAAGTTAGGGGCATTGGAATGGGCCTAATAAGTGGAATAGCCTACGGCCTATTTTCAACTAAATCCGGCCCTGTGTACACCTCGTCAATCATAGGTATTTAACCATCAAAGCAAGCATTTGATTAAACAGATTTGATCTTTCTTAACAGTAGTGAGCACGTGGTTAAACTAGGATAGATGAACACTTTCTCTGTTAAATTGTTGCATAAGAAAGACGTCTTGAAAAAGATTGCTTCGTGACATCGATGTCAGTTAGGTTTCGTTAAATTGATCAAGCTTTAATCATATCATTATTTGGGTCAGTTCCAAATGTTTAAAATCATAGATATAATTTTAAATACAACTACCAATAACCGCCCATACCCAAATCTTGCATATTTGGTTATACTCGATGGGTACCTCGCCAAAATAATTTAAAGAACCGTATCGACGTATGTATAGTATCACATAAATTCTAACCAATAATTTATCTGTTTTCCATTCAAAAAATAGTTCCACAGAACGCCATCGTATACATCATACATGCTTTAGAGCAAGATATGCTTAGACGTTGTTCGGTCTGTGGTGGGGGCGACCAGCCTATAGAAAATTTTGGAAAAAGTTCGAGACGATCGAAGAGAAGAAATTTAACAACGGGAAAACTATTGGTGGTCTGTATCCATTTCGTAGGTGGTCTCAGACTTGTAATTACTTCCCTTATCTTGATATTTGAAATGCGTATAGCAATTCACGCCCTCTCCCTTTTTCATGTTTGGTCTAAAATCCAAGAAGAGTGTTTAAATTTAGATTTTCTGCCAGGTTTTGGTGAATATTCGTGATTTGGAGGCGGAAAGACCAGGTAGTAAACAGACATGAATTAAGGAAATCGGGTAGAAAAATGACACCAGAGCGTATCGATTCCCCATGACTGGGGTAGCAAAAAATTTGAGATGGTGAACATTCTGGACTCTTTGTGGTTATAAAGATTAAAATCATCAGAATGTTCAAAAAATGTAATAGACCGAGAAATGGCATGGATTTTAAGTTGAAGTCAATTACTAGTCTTGTGTCCTGGTTCTATACTTCATTGTAGCATACCTATGGTTACTGTGTTATAACAACCGAAACTACTATTGCGTTGATTTTTATACGCCAACATTTTCATGTGGACGTATTACGCCGTCGCCCCTCTCCGTCCGATTTTGACGAAACTTGAAATGCATGTTTATAACCTAAAGATCTCGGTTCCTTTCGATAGTCACGTACATGTATATCGGACCATAACTGCCTGAATTATGGCCCCCGATTGTACGAAAAATCGCGTATTTAGCATGTGGTCCCATTAGAGGTCACAATTATAATTCGATTTAAAAAAAACCGTTCGAATATATCACCGTCACACCGTAATGATGATTGAGTTCGAATTTCGTGAAAATGTAATACCAAGGCTGCCTGGCTGTGGACCCTCTAGAAGTCACAATTTTTATTCGATTTTGATGAAATTTATGTTTATATCCCAAATATCTCAGTCCCTTTCGATATTCGCGCATTTCAGACCATAAGTTCATTTATGGGGTATTTTGCAAATTTTAAGATGTATATTCCCAAACCTATGACATTGGTAAATGGATATTAACATTGCGGGTATTATTTTATTTTTATTTATGGGGTATTTTCAAAATTTGTATTAATGGTAATGTTTAATAACAACGTTATTTATCACACCAACAGGTGTTGTTCCCCATCGTGTTCCCCCCCCCCCCAAAAAAAAAAACCCCAAAAAACTTGAACAACTCTAAACTTCTGTGATGTTTCTCAACTTTTAGATGAATATTTCATCTTTTCATGATCAAAGTTACGATCAAACTGTCGTCAGAAACATGGATTGCGCAAATAGAATAACTATAATCGGAACGAAAATAGCATCTAGGCTTAATTAGAGAACCAACTTTATGTTTGTGTTTGTTTTTTATTTGACATCAATATTTACAAAAGCATTTTATTTTTTGCCAGCAGCATGGACGGCCTTGCATATGATGGCATCAGCAGCAGGGCCACCAGGAAGAGAGAAGCCGAAGGTACTGCAGTAGGTTCTTGTACCTTCTACGATTCCAAGACAAACTTCATACCCGACAGTGAAAACGCCACAAGCTTCCAATTCCATACCTTTAGGTACGATACCCATAGCGGTACATACTGGCCCAGTGACGTATTTAGTTACAGCTTCACATCCACGCCCCACAACACTCATAGCACTGTGTAAGAAATGGGTGACCTGTTGTATAGAACTACTTAAAGATCTGTCTGAAATCATAGAAATGGTTAGGATTATTATTATATTTAGATCAATCAGAGCACCATATTACCCAGTCATCAAATACACAATGAACACTATTGCTCATATCAGTATTCCTGTAATTGTTTTCCAGACATAATTGACACTAATCACACCGTGGACGCGTTGTTTAGTCTGTAATATCAAGTAACATAAAGATCACGCCCTCAATACAGTAATCTTACCAATTTGGCGTGACCTTTATGGTGATATGGATTAAAGGGCGTAAAGCTCTGACTTGTGTAGAGTGGACTAACTAAGTGAGAGCGATCGCCATACGTATTTCGACGAACAAAACTGATTAGAAATTACAATACAATTTAAATTTTTTTTTTTTAAAAATAAAAGTTATTGTACTTTTGACCCATTGTTGTCTATTTAAGGTTCCAAAGAAGAAAGATTTAGCTTCTTTAATTGGTTAGGATATATGCCATTTAGAAATCAAAAAGAGGGCGAAAAAACATCAGAATGATTGCAAAGTAAAGTAATAAAATTAAAGATGGGTTCCCGTGTACAAACTGGGTGATTTAATGGTATATATGGACTAAAAACAAATTCAAACTAATTAATTTGTCATAATTATGCTTCAAATCCTTCTCAAACATTGTAATTGCGAAGGAATGCTCTGCTATTAAAATTCGATCAAACCAGGTCATGTTTACGTCACGTCTTGGAAATCAGAGGAGAATTCATTGCATACATAAGACGATGTTGTCTTTAATCGCTTACTATTTATTACAAATATCGAATCCTAATTAAATTCTCGGATTATCCACTACCCACGTCTTTTTCCGTCATTTTTATCTCAGAAAGTGTTGTACGTCTAACTCTTCATAAAGTTTATCAACTTGTACATCAAGCCCTCAATGTTCGCGTGTGACCTTTGACATCACGCGTGCAGAAATTCTTAATCGTCGGGCTGTTGATTAGGGGAACCCTTACATTTTTGTCCTGTGTACGCTCCATGAGTGTTTTTCGGGGAATCCATTATTTTTCTAGTAAGATTGGATATCTCTACTTTCCATATATACCAAAATTGCCATACTTTTATTGGAAATAACCACCCGATAAATACTTTTCTGGGAACCCATCTTTAACATAATAGATTAAAATAATTGTATGACATTATTTTAATTTTTAGTAACATGTCAGTTAACATACCTTCCAACGTCCGTGCCTGGCTGACAGCCACCAAAGTAACCAACAAAATACACAGAATCTTCATGCTAGGTGAAATAATATCAGATTAATCGTAAGATCCCCCTGAAACACGTTTAGCAGACAACAGTATACTAAACTCAGCATTATTCCTCATATTGTACAGTTTAACATTCTAATGGTAGTTTTCTGCATAATTTATGCATTTTAACTACTGTGCATGGCTATAGCTTGAAGGTGGGTTTGACCACACACTATTCCCCCATCTTCACGGTGACCTTTTTTCATTAACCCGTGAGAACCAACCCAGTAGTTTAATTAGGAATTTCATCTTCATTCTTGAAGCTTTGATATCATGATGATGTCGATATTATAATTCGTGTCGGCACTGGAACTGGCGATCGTTATTAATTTGTGTGTATTTACATTATACTCTTCAAAAAAAGAAACGCATAGTGACATTTCGTCGTCGGTATAGCCTCGCTTTCCAATCGCCTCGTTGCAACAAGAACCGCGACTCGTCGCTGAACCAAACTGCTGTGGCCATACCCTGTGTTTCTGAACCCATTGAAGTCGATTTGACGGTGTTGTCCTATTTCAAGCAACAGCTCTAACGGGACGTTATACGGTTTCACGTAGGCGGCTATGGACTGTCTGATCTGAGATCCTGCGCCGTCCAGGAATTGCTGCTGTAGTAGAGGTCGCTGTTTTGAATAATTTCTGCAAATAACGTTACCGGATGTGACGATCCAGGGCAAGTGGGGTCACTCTTGTTTGGCCTGAGCTTGGGCAATCACGCGTTGATCTTCGCTGTCGGTACCTATCCCAAAGGCGAGAAATGGTACTCTGGGAAACATTCAGCAGCCTGGCTACATATGTTTGGTATTCACCTGCTTGTAACCAACCCATAGCGTTGTTGCGTTGATCTTCGTTCAGATGTGGCATCACTTGACTCGTTAAGTGTTTACATTTTGAACTGATTTTGAAACCGACAACCCCGGGTTTCATGCGAAAAGCTTGCGAAGTTGTTAAACTCATGTGTCTTGGTGCAATCAAGCGAAAACAAATTTCGGCAAAAAGTATGACCAGTCACAATTAGTGTGTGTGAGAGAGAGATGGGGTTTAACGTCCACTCGACACAAACAAGGTCATTTCGGGACTAACATATGGTTTAATTTTATTTCAATAATTCGCTTGCGCGTAGGGGTCTTTAGCAATGGGAGGAAACCGGAGGACCCGGAGAAAACCCACAAGGTTGGACAGGCGACCCTACTCCTTGTCACGTACAACCACGCCAGTTGACTCAATGACAGGCCTTATGATACAGCGCACACGTGCTAACCATTCGCCCCCCCCCCCGTCACATTTAGTGACCCTACGTTTAAAACCAATAATGAATTTCTTTTATCCTTACATAGTGACATTAAAAAAAAACATCTAAGATTTATGGAAACAACGATCCCGTTCAAAAAAAAATGATGAAAAATGGGCTGTGTGCCCTTTTTTTGGAAGAGTATATTTAAAACTGTCGCTAGATTCGCATAAAAATTTACCTTAGAGAAATGTATATTGCACGTAAATATGAACTTTAAATCAACTATATTTCAGCAATCTGATATCGACACTATCTAACTGAACTTTTTAGCGCACCATCTCTTAAAAGTCTCGGTCATTTAAGTGTCACTTTAAGTATACATTTACGTGTCACTTTAAGTATATAATGCATATGACTTTTCTGGGCTCCTTACCTTTTTTGTTTCCCTGTCTTGAAATCTAGAACTGTAGAATCAGTGTTCGCTTATATATGCACATCTACTCAGTGACGTAGTGAGCTTTTGATATTCTTATCTGAAGCTGGCAACCCCGTTGTTGTCTTCTATTTAAGTGCCGTTCTAAAATTTCGTACATTATCATAAGTGACCCACATGGGAAGGTAGACGCTTATTCGAATCGCAAATATCATGGAACATAAATCAATGCATCACTGAGAAATAGTCTCATACCGTTGCTTCAACATTGCGTGGGTGTGTAAAACAAAACATGCTCAAATCATGTACTGATAGAAAAAAATGATGTTTTATCGGTGAACCACTCCCATTTGTTTACACCTGCATGTACCATTTCGGTACAATGTCGTGCACAGGGCATGGGGTCTATGGTTAATCTTTTCTGTTGACCTGGTACCTTTGCTACTGGGCTACGGTAGCGATAAGATTCCGGTTCCTTGAGAGGTCTGTATAGTGAATGACCCATGTGCTCAACTTGATAACGAAAGGTAAATTTCACCTACACATTATTTTTATAAAATAAAAGTCTGGTTATATCCAGACACCGCATAATACTGCTTGGTACACCGGTCTCCATTTCCAGATGAAGACTGACGGGTTTAAGTTGTTTGAAAACTTATCACAAATATTCAGTTAGTTACTCGGCCTTTAGCTAGAGGATTTTAAGGGATTTTAACACAAAATTAAGCAGTTTTCTTCTTCAAAAAATATCGGGATTAGCCCTTTAAACACTGGGTTACGCTTGACCACAAGAAACGAATTGGGTATATCTGCATCTGAAGACGCTGAAATTACGAGTAGACAGCGACCTTATGATATATATTAGAATAAAGAATTAAAAAAGGTTGATAATTTTAACTGGGCGTATTTTTAAATTTTTTTAAAGTCTTTATATACAGTACACATAAAAGTACTATAATACGTGTCCTCTTCAGATTCTAATTCTCCATTTATTTGCCATATTTGTGAATAGCGTTACAGATTGCAGTGTCAGTGGGAAAACTGCAGTAGGTCCTGGATCCCTCAATTACACCCAAACAAACTCCATAGCCAACTGTAAATACATTACAAGCTTCAACTTGAGTTCCTTTGGGCACAGTACTCAAAGCAGTACATACCGGCCCTGTGATATACTTGTTGACGGCTTGACATCCAATTCCGGCGGCACGAATGGCATTGTGCAAGAATGCTGTAAACTCAATCAATGAAGACCGAACAGCCATAGATCTTTCTGAAATAATTATTCGGTAACGATTTGGGTATAAAATTTGTGCAAATGCGAGTTAATGTTTGTTTCAATATTATACGATCGGAAATTACCAGTCCTGTATTTCACTAGCCCTCAAAACCAGAATACAGTTGAATATAAATCAGTTAGTAATTATAGACATTCACCAGTATATGGAAGTTAAAATTGGCCTGTTGATATTTCCTATTTATAATATCTATTTGTTTAAGTTACTGCCACAATGGTCTATTAAGCATTCTACCTTTAACCTATACCCTGAAGATTTTATTAAGTTTTTTTGGTATACACCAAAAGAAGGTCATTTTCCCTAAATATGTTATTAATGGGGCTGCTTAAAATATTGTTGGTGAATCAGACGGGTTAGATCTGGTGGAAGTCCTCAAGAAACCAAAACTCTAGTACTGTACAACTCTGAATCTATGTAGTACTTTTGCGAAGAAATAAAACTGTTAATTACTTACTATCAAGAACCCGGGCCTGGCTTACAACCACCAGAGCAATCACGACAGCACCCATTACCTCCATTCTAATTGAAAATAAACCGATACTTGTGTTATAATGTTAGAACAAACAAAATGGCTGATTTAAAATGTCATATTGTAGAAAACTGCTAAGCGGAAAACTTGCTGCTATTCTAGATAAGAAAGTTTTATCTGAAGCCAGTGAAAATATCTAGAACTATGCTATACTTTTAAAATTTCCTATACTTTGTTAAGTTATAGTGGTAAATCACCGTCTGGATTAGTTAGTCACCTATATAGCCCGTTTAGACGCTTAAGTTGAACTGGTTTAAAAACCCCGGGGATCGTTAAACCAGTTTAACTTAAGCGTCTGAACGCAAATGTGGGGCAAATAAACCAGTTTAAAAACCCCTGCTCGCGACCTGTCTTCGAGAAGGCTTTTTATTTTAAACTGATTCATCTTAGCCGTCTGAACGGGTTGGCTTAAAAACCCCAGCTCCAGCTTGCTTCGAGCATGCGCAGTACGCAGTTAGTTACATTCCTGTGAAAATATTGGGGTCAGACAGTGCCAATGTTATCGAAAGCGTGCGAGAACCGAATAAAGAATATGAAGCTACCCATGCGCAGTTAACTCTAACCTCCGACCGAAGAGGTCAGAATAGTTAAACTGGTTTGGCTTATAGTACGTGTGAACGCAACACGATGCTGTCTTAAAAACCCCAGCGATTATGAACTGGTTTAAAAATAAGCGTCTGACCGGGCTAATAGACACGAAGAATAAAACTCGTTAAATAGGTCACTTAACAACGTTAAGCAACTAGCGACCATTATCAATTTTAAACATGGGGGAAATTTTGGCCGGATAGCGGCGCTACGGCCTACTCTAATATTGAATTCCAACTGCCAAGAAAGCCTTTATGTGCACGCCCATGTGTACACGGGACCTCGGTTTTTCGAACCCAATTAAACGACTATGCGTTGTCCCTTGCCAGACCCTTGGCCCAGCAGCACTGAAATGAAATGGGTTTTAATATCCTTTTTGCTACAAACTGACTAATGAAGACGGACATACTCTATACGGTGTGCTTGGACGGTGGCTCTGCGGCCAACTGTTATTTCGAATATCAACTGTCATGGCACACATGTCCTGCACCACCGACAATGGGAAACAATGCTGGAAAAAACATAACACAAAACATTTACATTTTGGGTATATGACCCTACCAACCTTAATGGTTATCTTGAGGTATATCAAAAAGGTTGGTAAATAAATCTCGTTTATATCGACCGATTGTACATCCTTATCTTGCCCTAGTATGGCCATTGGTGATAAGATCATGAGCTCATTCCGGACAATTATGCATGTTTGTCATTTACAGAAGGTGTGAATAGATGCCTTAATTACATGTATTTAACTTCAAAATGGACCGGACCTCTCCATGTGGATCCCAATGGGAGTGGTGTGGGAGTGGGGGTGGGCGATATCTACGTCAATTTATTTTAGAATTAGATTCCGCATTTCTAATATTTTACACAGCATTTTTATCTAGTATGTACTCCAACCAATCGCATTATACCATATCCCCCGCAAAAAACTAGCTATTCTATGTACTTTGGTTTTAAAATCTCTACCATTACAACAAACGTTCACAGCATTTATAGCCAATAGTGTATATAGGGAATATGGTTGAGCTATCTATCATGTGATATACCCAGTGGTGGTAGTCGCCTGTGAAGAAAGGTAACTCATCTAATAGAATTGCACGAGAAAAATATCCCAAGAGGACCTCGTAGACCTTTATTTTGAAAGAAGGAGTAAAGTCATCAACATTTTCCCGCCAATTTATATTACTTCATACTCCCTCTTATATGGGTTACCTCTAGGAAACCCCATGCCTGGAGTATAAAGATGTTCAAGTTGTTGGAACAATAGTCCAGGCAATCATACATTTGTTCATGAATATTTCATACAAAGTATGTTTTGAACAAATGGGGACAGTGTTTCCTAAACGTTTAGAAACACTATGGTTTATATGAAAGAGGCAAAATTTGTCATAATAGTAAAATCTGAGGTCAAATGTAAACATAGACAGGAATCGTGACGTCACTTATTGGAAGTGATTGACTCCAGATCAACCTACAGTTCAGAACCAGTGATATAGAAATTAAGATGTAGATGGCAATAATAACAAAAAAAAAATTCTAGATTTATTTTTAAAATCAATATTTATTTTTAAAACCAATATTTACAAAATCCTGTTATTTGCCAGCAGAATGGATAGCCTTACAGATAATGGCATCAGCAGCAGAGCCACCCGGAAGAGTCTTCCCGAAGGTATTGCAGTAGGTTCTTGTACCTTTAACGATTCCAAGACAGACTTCATGCCCGGCAGTGAAAACGCCACATAGTTCAAGTGCACTACTTTCGGGTATGACACCCATAGCAGTACACACCGGTGCATTGACGTGTTTAGTTACAGATTCACATCCACGTCCCACAACACTCATAGCATTGTGCAAGAACTGGGTGATCTGTTGTAGAGAACTATGTAAGGATCTATCTGAAATCATAAAAGTGATATACATGTAAATAATATACCCAGTTTGAACAGAGCTCTATATTTTATTGGTTCCTGACCTGCTGTACAGAACAATCCAGATCGCCCCAGATCAAATTGTGCCCGGTTCCACTACAACGTATTAAGACATGGTCTGAACAAAATTTAAATCGCGTCGATTATGTTCACATTGTCAGTTACCAAATACACAATGAATACTATTTTCCGGAACAGTTATAATCGACATGTTCGAGATTAATTACTCAATGGGCATGTCGTTTAGCCTAGATTATCAAGTAACACAAAGGTCACCCCCTCAATACAGTAATCTTATCAACTTCGGAACCTATTAGAAATACGAAATGAAATGGAGCTTTAGCCGAATGGTTAACGCGTGTGCGTTAGATCATAAGCCCTGTCATTGCTTTAAGTGGCGTGGTTTCGATTACCCCGCTTGTACGTGACAAGGAGTATGGTCGCCTGTCCAACTGCGTGGCTTTTTCCCCCGGCTGTTTCCTCCCACTGCTAAAGACCTCTACGTGCATGCGAATTATTGAAATAAAATTGGACCATATGTTAGTGTCGAAATGACCTAGTTTGTGTTGAGAGGACGTTAAACCCCATTTCTCTCTCTCTCCTTTTGTATACATTCTGGGGGTTAACATATTTCCAAATAAATCTTTATAACATGACCGTAAGCACACCTGTCAACGTCCGTGCTTGGCTGACAGCCACCAAAGTAACCAACAAAATACAGAGTACCTTCATGCTGAAAAAGGAAATCAT